TCCGCCATTGGGCGACTCCGTTACGGGCTCTGTGCGCCCTGAGGAGGGCGAGAGCACGTCGTTAGGCGCTGGTGGGGAGGGGTGGGGAGGGGTGGGGAGGGGTGGGGAGGGGTGGGGGGAGGGGTGGGGAGAGGTGGGGAGGGGGAGAGGCACCACGCGTAGAGGACGAAGCAGAAGGCGAAGACGAGCCGGTCCTCGACGTTCTCGCCGGCGCCCGTCATGACGGTGCCGAGCTGCTGCGAGTTGATGATTGCGTAGTAGCCGTACGTGAAGACGGACGACCAGGCGAGCCACAGCAGGTAGGGCGGGATGGCGGCGATCGGGAGGAAGAAGCCGCAGACGTTCTGGTAGAGGAGCACCGCGCAGCCGAAGGCGGTGGTGGCGGCGCCGAGCCCGGGCATGAGCGTGGTGATGAGCATGGCGACCTATGTAGGCACGGGTGTGCAAGGGGGGAGGATGGTAGGGAGCCGGAGGAGGGGGGGGGGGGGAGGGGGGAGGGGGGGGGAGGGGCGAGGTGCGGCCAGCCTCCCGACCGGCGAGATATGGGGAGATATGGGGAGATATGGCGAGGTGCGGCCAGCCTCCCGACCGGCGAGATATGGGGAGATATGGGGAGATATGGCGAGGTGCGGCCAGCCTCCCGACCGGCGAGATATGGGGAGATATGGCGAGATATGGCGAGGTGCGGCCAGCCTCCCGACCGGCGAGATATGGGGAGATATGGGGAGATATGGCGAGGTGCGGCCAGCCTCCCGACCGGCGAGATATGGGGAGATATGGGGAGATATGGCGAGGTGCGGCCAGCCTCCCGACCGGCGAGATATGGGGAGATATGGCGAGATATGGCGAGGTGCGGCCAGCCTCCCGACCGGCGAGCCGGCGCGGTGAACTGGCTCGGGTCTCGGGGGAGAGCTCGGGCAATCTCGGGGAGATCTCGGGCAATCTCGGCGAGATCTCGGGCAATCTCGGGGAGATCTCGACCGCGGAGCCGGCGAAGCCCATCCCAATCTCGGGGAGATCTCGGGCAATCTCGTCGGATCTCGACCGCGGAGCCGGCGAAGCCCATCCCAATCTCGGGGAGATCTCGGGCAATCTCGGGGAGATCTGGACCGCGGAGCCGGCGAAGCCCATCCCGAGCTCGGGCAATCTCGGGGAGATCTCGGGCAATCTCGGCGGATCTGGACCGCGGAGCCGGCGAAGCCCATCCCGAGCTCGGGCAATCTCGGCGAGATCTCGGGCAATCTCGGGGAGATCTCGACCGCGGAGCCGGCGAAGCCCATCCCGCCGGTGGCGAAGGCGGCGGCGAGGTAGGCCGTGGCGTCGAGGCGGAGCTGGCCGAGGAAGTAGAAGCAGGGCGTGTAGTAGACCGCCTTGACCGCCTCCGTGAGCCCGAGCTTTACCAGGCAGACCAGGTGCCTGAGTGAGGAGGAAGGACTGGTGGCTCAGAGTGGGATCATCCGGTGCGCCGCGTGCCGAGCCAGGCGGAGTCCCAGGCGAGGACTGAGTCGCCGCGCGCTCGTGCGAGGGGAGACGTGGCGAGATGGGGAGAAGTGTGGCGAGATGTGGTCAGATGTGGGGAGACGTGGTCAGATGTGGCGAGATGTGGCGAGATGTGGGGAGATGTGGGGAGATGTGGGGAGATGTGGGGAGGTGTGGGGAGGTGTGGGGAGATGCGGGGAGATGTGGCGAGATGTAGGGAGATGTGGGGAGGTGTGGGGAGGTGTGGGGAGATGTGGGGAGATGTGTGGGGAGATGTGGGGAGATGCGGGGAGATGTGGCGAGATGCATCGCAGAGCAGGCGTTCGCTCCGTGCTCGCGCGCGAAGAAGCGCTTGTCCGCGATGATGGTCGGGACGAAGACCGCCTCGTTGATGAAGAGCGCGTTGACGACGAGGAAGAGGAAGCCTACCGCGCCACCCACGCCGCTGAGCCCGCACACCGGATTCGACACCTCTGGAGGTAGGGGAGGAAGAGGAGGCCGCGGTGCGCAAAGTCAACGTTGGTGCGCGCCACCAGCGCCTAACGCCGTGCACGCGCACACCTCAGGGCGGGGGGGGCGGGGAAGGCAGCCGCGTGGCGGCGGAGTGGTACACAGCCGAGTGCGCCTCCTCTCGAGCGCTAGTTGGACGGACAAGAGCACGCGCTCCGCTTCCAAAGCCGCGTGTCCGCCTCTAGGGACCGGCTGCTCCGGTGGTGTGCCGGTGTGCGTGCTAATCTGCGCCAGTCCGCGCCCTCGTCGTGCCCCGTGGGCTGTGAGAGAGGCGCGTGTGTTTGAAGCATTCGAGGGGCCACGGCGCCTGGCCGCACTCCGCCACGTCGTCGGCCACGGTGTATCCGCCGTCGGCGCTGTCTGCCATGTCCAAGTGGCAGACGCACCCCTGCACCCCGTCGCCGCTACCGAGGTTCGCCGAGCAGCCCATGTCGTCGCGGTAGACGGAGGCGGGCTGCGCGTCGAGCGGCGGCTGCGCGACGAGGGGAGGGAAGGGGAGGGACACTTCTCCACACACACACACACACACAGAGTGTGGTGGGGCGAGGGCCAGGCGACCCTCGCGTCTCCACACCGGGACACTTCCTAGACACTTCCTAGACCTCGCGGCTCCACACCGGGACACGGGCGGGAGCCGGCACGGCATCTCAGAGCGCAAGGCCCAACGCACGCTGGGTGAGCGGGCCTGCGCGACGAGGAGGTACGTGGAGGCGTTGAGGGCGAGCACGAAGCCGTTGAGGACCTGAGAGGAGCGGGGTGCCGCGTCGTGAGCCAGCCTCCTCCAGGAATGGCGCGAGGGACGAGGCTGCACTGAAGCCCACCCAAGTGAACTTGTACCCAAAGTCGCGCAGGTCCAGCGTCCACTGCCTCCGCACGAGCACACCGACCTGGTGCAGCAGCGGGTTTGGGTAGCCGCCGCCGCCGCCGCCGCCGCAGCAGCCGCCGCGCCCCTCCTCCTCCTGCGGCGCCTTGAGCGACTGGGCCGCCAGGTCCGCCAGCGCGGGATGGCGGCCGATCTCGACCGAGTCGATCTCCGCCTCGATCTCGCGCCTACCGCACGGCCCACGGGACTGAACCCACGCTGGGTTCGGCACGGCGGAGGTATGGGACGCGTCGCATCTCGCGCCGGAGGTCCGACTCTGCGAAGCGCGCCACCAAGTCGACCGCCTCGCCGCCGTCCTCGTCCGCGTCCGCCTCCTTGGTGTGCGTGAGGTCGACGACCACATCGGCGGGGTTCACCTGCCGGGGGGACAACGCGTCTCGGACACGCCGTGCAGACGTGTCCCGACGCAATGTCTCGACGGCCCACGGCGGCGCGAGCTCACCGACGGCGGGCATGGCACGCCGCAGCCGCGAAGAAAGTCGGGCACCTGCGAGTCCACTGGCACCCTCCCCGCCAGAGCCGTCGCCTCCAAGCGTGGGTTCAGTCCCGTGGGTGGTGCAGTAGACAGTGCGGGGCACCTGCGCCACCGGCCCGCAGTACATCGTCTCGCCCGCCTTGACCAGCAGCAGCTGGTGGAAGAGCCGGAACGTCTCGGCGCGCGGCTGGTGGATGGTGCAGGCGAGGGTGCGGCCGCGGTCCGCGAAGCGGCGGAGCGCCGCGACCACCTAGCAGCGCGAAGGCACTCGCATCCGCATGGCAGGGCGCGCCGCCGGCGTGCCTTGCGAGCAGCAGCGGCCGCGCACCGAGATCTCGCCGGGCGAGGAGCGAGGTGGTCGGGTGCGCGGGCCACGTAATCGGCGACGGGCGCGGATCCGGCCCACCTCAGGCGTGCAAGCACAGCGGCGACGGAGGAGCGCAAGCGGCGCTTCGAGAGCCGCGGCAGCAGGCAGACGGCGCCGACGAGCGGTCCGGCGCCCTGCCGTGACGGGAGGGTACACACATGGAGGGGCTCGCTGACCGCGGCCGCGGCGAGAGGGCTGAGAGATGGCGGAAGCGGTGCCGGCGAGCAGTGGGGCTCTCAGCGCCCGTCCGGCCGGTAAGAAGAAAAACAAGCTGGATCGCTGCCGGGGTGAGTTTTCTTTCTTTCTTTTGGGGGCATTAAAGCCCTTTTTTCTTGGTTCCCACCCTCTTGGATTCGCCAGGCTTCCAGGGTACGACGGCTCTGAAAGGCGGCGCCGGCGGGCGTTCGCGCCAAAATAGATGCACCGCGGTTGGTTTGCATCTTGAAAGGCGGCGCCGGCGGGCGTTCGCGCCAAAATAGATGCAAACCAACCGCGGTTGGTTTGCATCTTCTAAAAAGAAATTCATTCGGCTGATGAGGCCACGGTGCAGAAGAATCAATTTTGGGTCCGACTCTGCATCCTGCATCCTGCATGCTGCACATACAGACACTAAACATTTTGGGCTGGGTTCTGCATTCCTGCATTCTCTGCATCTGCATCCTGCATATTCAGAGAAATACGGAATGTAGAATTTTACGGAATGTACCTAGAATCAGCCCGTCTATGCGCAGACGAGGCTAATCCATGCAGTCCAGACTGCAACCTGCATGCTATACAAGAGTGCGACATTTCAGTGCAATCCCTGGTGCAAAGGAACGTCGAGCGTCGTGCGTGCCAGTGGGGCGATGTCTGCTCTCTCGCCGGAGAGCTCTGGCACACCGCTCACCCCGCCGCGCCCACACGCCGCGCAACGTTATGGCAACGACACGGGTCGACGGGAGTGTGTAAAGGCTGCCCTAAAGATCCGAGAGCGGCCGCGGACTTTTGGAGGACTCACCCAGATAAGTTTAAGTAACGCACACAGCCGCTCCTGGAACTGCAGCTAGGTGAGACATGCAATCACGCCCCCAGCGCGGCGGCGCCTGGCGGCGGCGTGAGTCCGCGCGGTGCGTGCGAGAGAAGGAGCGTGGTCCCGCGCGCATGCTGCGGCGAGGCGAGGTCTGAGGAGAGAGGAAGGCGGAGGGGTGCTGGGCCGGGACTGGAGCGTCGGGCTGAGCGAGGTGGCGCCGCTCTCGCGTGGAGAGCTGTCCCGGTGAGGTACTGATGAGAGGGTTTGGGGGTTGGGCGGGGAAGGGGGGGGGGGGGGGGTCGTACTGGCGGCTGCGCTCGGCGCGGCAGCTCACCCCGGCGCGCGGCCCCACGTGCTCTGACCGAGGTGTGGCGGCGGCGAGAGCGGCGCGGCGGCGCGGGCGGCGTCGTCGTGCATCATGACCAGCTGCGCGCGCACCTTGGCTCAGTGAGGAATGGAGTGAGGAGGCAGTTCAGCGCCGCCGTTGCACGAACACCAGCCGCGCGCGCGCCTGGTCCAGCGTCCTCCGCAGCGGCGAGAGAGGGTACTGCCCGCGCAGCGCCGCGGCGCCGTCGCCGCGTGACGTGTCGGCGCCGGCGACGACGTCGCGCACCTTGCTCCAGCGCGACGGCGTCGACGTGGCCGACGCCGGCGTGGCGAGCCCGCCCCGCCGCTTGCTGCTTGACTTTGGCGTCGGTGGAGCGGAGGGCAGCTCGTCGGGCGGCGTCACCGGAGGGGGGCGCAAGTCCGCGATCGCGGCCGTCGCGCCGAGCGGGGGCGACGGCGACGGGGCGGCGGCGGCGCCGCCACCCGCCGCGGCGGCGGCGGCGGCCGCGCGTCGGGTCTGCGCGCTGCGCGGCCCGTCGGGGCCCAGGTATGTTGCGTGGTGGGAGGAGTAGGCGCGAGTGATGGCGTAGGCGACGCCGTGGAAGAGGAAGCACCTGCGGAGCGCGCATGTGCGCCCGACGTGGGGCTTGCGTGCGCGCGCCATCCGCCTCCAGGCGACGCGCGCGGGGAAGGTTGGAGGTGCGGGGAGAGGTGGCGAGATGTTGGAAGATCTGCGGAGATTGACCAGCTCTAGATAGAGTCGAGATTCTTGCCGAGACGATCCCCGAATCGCGCAGGTTGTTCT